TGCGTATTAATGCAATATATGTATCACAACGTATTACATTAATTGTATAAATTGTATGTACACATTTAGCGTTTAATGTAAAAACCACGATAAAAAAAAAATATATATATATATACATATATGTATATACACACATACATATCTACATATATATATATACATATATATATATGTATAGTGATTATTGTAACTCTTGCATTAAACGCTGACTAAAATGACATAATGCTAGCTTCTTACCGCACCACAGCAGCACCTTATGGCTCGGATCTTTGTCCAACCATTCCTTGACCATTCGAATGCCCAAAGCACGACTTTGTTCCAGTGTTGGTATGCTTTCTACCGGTCTTTTGCAAAAGGTGATGTCAAAGTAAAACGCATCGAGACGTATAAAACCATTTCTGAAACTGAACGTCTATATCAACAATACTTACTGGTAAAATTCCAAGCAGAGTCCAGCTTATTTGGGAAATTTCGCACAAAACTATCGTAAAAACGAACAATTTTCAAATGTTTGTTAGACTAGAATCCTAGAAGAAATAGAAGTACCGTCTCTGGGGATCCTTGAGTGGCTCACAATTAATCCAGTCATCTTTGGACAATCTGTAGTCTCCTGTATATAACAGATTGAATCCATTCGCAAATTCATACAAAATCCTAAATAATGAAAACATAAAAATCAAATGCTTAATTAAATTTTCAACTGTATTTAGAGAGGTGTCAGACAAAAGAAGGAAATGTTTCTCTTTTAGTCACTGTAAAACATACTATAATTTGTACAACGAGCTGATAAAATGCAGAAAATCTAGCTTAAGAGGGATAAAATTAGCTCAATACCGTTGCAGTTGTTCTTTAGGAAGCAGGAAACCAATCCTTAAATTTCTTTGCAAACTCCTAGGGGTCAAAACCAAACAGCTTGAAAATTCAGTAGCATAGTTTGTAGAGTTAATAAATTGATATCTTTTTGGCTTCATTTGCGTCACTCAGCGTAGGCAAATAAGTCTTATAATTCGTATCAATTCAATACTCCCTACTAAAATTGCAAACAAAATCCATTTGAGAACTCCCACTAAACTGGCTGGATCTACAGCCACAAAACCGGCGAGTGCAACACATTCTGAGCAAGAATGTGAATTTGGGTCCATTTTCTTACCTTCAGCACCAGAGACGTAAGAATGATATCTGAGGCATTACAGCGTTACGAAAGGAGGAAGCGGCTGACACGAACAATGAATGAAGTTGGCGGCTGACCTCCCTCGCTTTGCCCATGTTGCCCCTTCACTCCCATGCGATGTGTGAATGCCTCGCCTTGTAACTCAAGCTCCCCTCTTGGTATAAAATATGTTTGGAAGTGGTAAACGGAGTCCCATATTGTTTATTAGATGGCGTCAGCTTGGTGCTGCTTCAGCTTCAAA